GGGGTGGGGGGCCTGTGGAGGAGGGGATGGCAGTGAGAACCAATCAAATAAATGCTTCTAATGTGTTTAAGCTTCAGCCTCCATGCTTCTTCTAACCCTTTGTAAAATAAGGCAGTACATTCCACCCTTGATTATTTAGGACTATTAATATATAAATTTGTAATTTAAATGTTTGATTGTGTTGTGACTGCAGAACCTACAAGGGCACCTCAAGTGGAGAGTCATGCTATACAACATGGAAACCTGTTGGTTAAATGGAAGGTTAATAGTGAAGAATTAATATGTGACCCTGATAGAGGTTTTTCATGTCATGTTAGATGACGGCAGCCATGTTAGACATCGTTTTACATAAGAAAGAATTCAATTCTCAAAAGCAAAGTTTTTTTATATTCTGCCATCTATAACCTGTTTTGTTTTTGTTTACGAATGCTGTTGTGATAAAAATGAGGCTTACTTGAAAAAAAAAAAAAAAAACACTATGCAATTCTTAAAAATGAAATTCTAAATAACTTGCTGCATCTACAAGTTGCCCTTTTGGAAGCTGTATTATAGGCATGGCCGGCACCTGATGGTGCTAATTCATATTTTTTATAGTCCCTTCCAATTTTTTTCCTGTATTTTTTAACTAGATTCCTTCAAACAATGTGTGTACTGACAAGATCACAGCATATGAAATTCATTACTGGGAAAAACAGAATGACAACTGTTCAAGCATAAAAAGTGGCTCCATCAAAAAATATATTACCAATAGATCAAGTGATAGAGAGGCGAACATAACTGACTTATCATCCTTATTAGTAGCACACTGCTTTTGTATTAGAATGTGCAATCATCCTGGCTGTGGCCCTTGGAGTATGGTGTACTCAGTGGAAGGTAAGACCTATTGACTATTAATTGTCTTTGTTTTCATGAGGGTAGGTAGCACTTAACAGCCAGGCCCTACTTGTACGAAGCCTGGAAAGCGCTATCCAATGGATAAATCTTATCCAGTGGATAAATTTATTGGATAACAGCATCAACTTATCCACTGGATAAGGTTTTATCCGCTGGATAGGGCTATCCAGGCTTCGTACAACCAGGCGCAGTAGCATAGAGTTTCTCACCATTGCATTGTTGCCTCTCCCCCCCCNCCCCCCCCTCCCTCCCAGCTACGCCCCTGATTTGGATAGACCATAATTTTTAAATTCATAAAAAAATACTGTGTTTCTTGATTACTATTTACTCAGGGTAATTAGGCTCATTTCAGTCAGCAAGATTAATTTTCAAATACCAACAGTAAAGTAATGAATGCACAGCTTTATAACAATACAATCTCTCTATAATTCCACTGAGTTTCACTGGAACACAATGAATTTTCTACACAAAATCATGACTAACCCTGAGCAACAGAGAACTCAAAACTGGAGCATTGCCTCTCAATTTCACTTTGACACCATCTAAAATATGCAAGGAACACTTCTCTTAAGGTTAGCATGAAGCAAACGACAAGAAATAGCACCACCTGTACCCCCAGGGGTGTTAGTCTATCACATGTTATTACGACCCCTTTACCCTGAATTTTTCAGGAAAAATGACAATTCAAGAGGAAGGAAGGACTTTCATAAAACATTTCAAAGTGCTACTATGACGAAAATCACTCAAACTTGGATTCAGCTGAAACTTCCTAAGAATACTCTTTAAAGGTCCAATAATCACTGTATGAAGTGTTTTCTCGATATTGAGGACGAAACTATGATATTTTTACGATTATATTTTGGAGTCTGTGACGTCATACACTCAACATTGAACATCGCTCCATACATTTCTTTGTAGTTTATGATCAAAATATCAGTAGTAAAGGGAGAAAGAAATACCCAAACACCCCAAAATATAAATTACAGTCACAAGTAATGTGAAATAAGCACATTAGCCACCCTTTGGGCTTCATAGGAATAAAATAAATTAAGGATTTATATACAAAGAAATGTATGGAGCGATGTTCGATGTTGAGTGTATGACGTCACAGAGTCCAAAAAATAATTGTAAAAATATCATACTTTTGTCCTGAATATCGAGAAAACACTTCATACAGTGATTATTGAACCTTTAAAGAGTATTTTTAGGAAGTTTCAGCTGAATCCAAGTTTGAGCGATTTTCATCATAGCAGCACTTTAACATTTTTTTTCCTTTTAAGAATCAGAATACACACTGATAACTGCAAAGACAAGAGCTTCAAAAAAGGGCGTGCCTACAGAGACAGTTACGATAGCTATAACAGCTGCAAGCCTTGCTGTAATAATTATGATCTTGATTTTAGTTTTGGTTGCCGTAAGGAGAAGGCAAGTGTACTACTTCTTATTAAATAAATGCTGGTTTCTTAATTCCATCTATTTTTTGTGAATATTGTCATTTCATCTCCTATACCCACACAGCTGAGTGTTGTGTACATAGGATATTGAATGTAGTGGTAGTGCATGTGGAGGGAACCTCACGGAAGAGCCCCATATGGGGAGTGGTGATTGTAAAATATAATTATTATTACTATTATTATTTTTATTATTACTATTATTATTATTATTATTACTATTATTATTATTATTATTATTATTACTATCATTATTATTATTATTATATTGAAAAAAAAGCTTTTTTCTGATTTATCGATAATGTTATAATGATGTTATTTTCTATTAGAAATAGAGCTGATGCGCCAAGACGCCTCGAAGAAGTAGTGGGTGATTTGGTAAGATTCATACTGTCTTGGCAACACAGCACCTTCTTGTCTTACATCAATTTTGATTGATTTTGCCCACAAACTTGACAATTTTACCAATGCACTATCAACACCCTATGCTGATAATCTACCAACACCATACTAATACCCTACCAATACCTAATGATACCCTACAGATACCCTACCAACACCTTATCAATACCCAATACCAATTGCCTACCCCACTGATACCTAATGATACCCTACAGATACCCTACCAACACTTATCAATACCCTATGCTAATTATCTACCAACACTATAGCAACACCCTACCGAT